GGGAGAGGGAGAGGGAGAGGGAGAGGGAGAGAGAGAGAGAGATATGAAAGGGAAGGAAGAACCTAAAATTCCTATAGCAGATCAATTAAGCCAGTTGCAGTATATCCATATGAAAGGATACATGAGGTCATTAAAAACTATGTTATAAAATATATTCTACAGATACCAGTGAGTTAAAACAACAGGCTTCAAAATAGAATTTAGAGTATGACCTCGTTTTGTTAAAATTAATAATAAAGGGAATCGTGTGTGTGTGCCAATCACTAATGTACACACTTCACATGCACCTGTTCATGTAATCCTTGTACTTATGGGAGGTAGGCGCTCTTTTTCCCCCCCACTTTGCTGAAGTCACCAGGAAGCCAGCTTGAAGCCCAAGCCCTCATTCTCAGCTGTGCTCAGCTGGAAGGGAAAGTGCCGAAGAAGAGGAGTGTTAGGGCCAATCCTCCTGTTCTCACTTACTTCCAGTTCAGAGGTGCTGAGGAAATGCTGCCTATGAGGATGGACTATTACTTGACGTCTATAAACTAGGAATGTATATTAGAAAACACTTTAAGTGGTCATTTACTTCCACATCACCCAAGATGATCACAAAGAGGACATTGGTTAGAAATGCTGTGAGGATGAAGTTAAAGTTGAGGGTAAAATTGGGCACCAAGGAAATTGTCTTGTAGTGTCAAGGTCATGCATCAAGGCAGAGAGGTCAGAGTCAGGGCAGGTGGGTGGACACTCAAGTCCAACATGAGAAGGCATATCACAGATGTCACTTTAAATTTTCTAGTGGCCACATTTAAAAAGTGAAAAGAGACAGGTGGAATTAATTCAAATAAATATTTTATTTAACCTGACATCCAAAATAGTACCATTGCAATATCTAATTGATGTAAAAATTATTGAGAGATCTGAATTTTTTTTTTGGTATCAAACCTTTAAAACCCAGTGAGTATTTTATGAGCCGTGCTTTAAGAGCTCAATAGCCACAATAGCTACCACAGTGGACAGTGCAATTCTAGATCGATCATTCTCAACATTTCCCCACTCTGGACTACGCCTACCAGGAGCAGTGGGGTTGGAAGGGTGGTGATTATGAAAACTTCCATAAGAGATTCTGACAAACTTTCCTAAGGGAATCATTTCCTCCCCCAATCCCTTGAGATTACTGTGTTCATGCTTCCTATTCTGTTTCCTGTAAGTGAAAATTAACAGAAGCTTCCTGAAGAGGGGGTGGGGAAGTTGTCCGGGCATCTGTACTCCTCTGGGGCCCAGCCCCCTACAGGGAAGGCACAAACTCACTCAGAAATGGGATGTGGAGGGATGTTTCCGGGGGCAGCTGCAAAGTCCCTAAATTGAACTTGAGACTCGGATTGTGAAGAGCAGTGACCCATATGACATGTTCCCTTCGTTCTTCCTGTCTGAGCTGCTGAGGCAAGCTGGCCTCCCAAGAGGAGGTGAAAGGGTTTGAGGATGCTTTCTCCATCCTCTTGGTACAATGAGAGACATTATTCTCAAAAGCCAAAAAAAAAAAAAGTGATTACAGGAAGATAGAAGGGACTCAAAACCCATGCCCCAAAGCTGGCAAGCCATGAGCAAAGATAAGGAAATGAATTTAGCTCCATTATTCCCTGAGATGAATATGAGGCTTATGTAGCTGGGCCTCCAAGGAGGCAGCAATGCCCCCTTCTTTAGGGATAAGGAGTGGAAGTCCCAGACCCCAGTCAAGTCAAGGAATCCCACTGCAGTCTCCAAAAGGAAAAGAATAGCCACAGGAAACAGGACATGGCTGGCACTGAACCACACTCTCTCCCTGGAAGAAGAAAAAAATGCACACTATAAACAAAACTAAAAGGTAGACAGACAACCGTCCTGAGGTATCCCAAATAACCTTGCCACTAAATACAAAATGCTGAATAAAATATTTTTTAAAAAATATTATCTAAATGTATTGTTGTGTTGACAAGAAGTAAAGAATTTAATCTTCTGAGGCCAAAAGTGAAGCAAGAACTGAAATTCAGGGGGAGGGGGGGATAAGCTAACTCTGAAGCTGGCAGCTTCCCTGAGGCACCTGCTCACTATTCGTGACCTTGAAATTCTGTTCTGAGAGCTACGAGGATGCAAGAGACAGAAGACAAAACTCTCAAGGAGGGAGTCTGAGAGGACACTGCTGTAGGAAGCTGGAACCAGAGCTATACCCTGGGCGTCAGGCAAACAGAAACCAACCTGTCCTCCAGGAGGAAGACAGCAAGGTCCTTCCATCTTGATCTTAGGTAAAAGGAAAATAGATCTCAGCTGAGAATGTGTAACCATGAAGCTGGCCCTCACGTGCAAATGCAGCACAAACTCAAAATATCTATGTCAGGTACAACTCAAGCCAAATGCGCTTAAAAGTGGTCTTGAACACACACACACACACACACACACACACACACACACACACACACACGGGGGAAAGAGTGGTTCTGATATATAGTGCCTTAGGTACCTGGCATGTGAATGTTCTCTAAATGAATATGGTCACAATCCAATTTCATCATTTACTGAAAAATTCTAAGGAATAAGGGATCACAGTAAAAAAAAAAATCACAAAATATACAAGGGAAAAGGTATCCATGGACACAAGTCAGCAAACTGGACAAGCAAAGACTTCAAATACTGGAATTATCAGGCAGAAAATATAAGTATATAAAACTACATGAAAATAACTAAGAAATTGAAAATGAGAGAAAAACATGATAAATAATGTCTTTTTTTAAAGCCTAAGTGGAAATTCTAGAAATGAAATAATATAATAATTAAAATTAGGAAATGCAACAGTGGATTAAAAAAAGCCTAAGTGGAAATTCTAGAAATGAAATAATAATTAAAATTAGGAAATGCAACAGTGGATTAAATATGGGCGAAAAGAGAATTAAGGATTACAAGACAAACAGCAAGAGAATGCCCAGATGAACATAAAAAGACAGACGATATGAAAACCAGGTGAAGATACAAAAGGAAGATAAATTGAGAAAGTCCCACATATATCTAACTGGGATTCTAGGAGAAGAGAAATCAAGGAGAAATGGCAATATTCCACATGGTAATGGCTGAGAATTTTACAGAATTAATAAAAAGTATGAATCCTCAGAGTAAGGAAGCCCAACAAACCTTAGAGACCTAAATAAAAAAAGAAATATAAACCCCTGCCATAGTGAAACTGCAGAAAATCACAGAAAAAAATAGGTCTTAAAAACTCCCACATTAAAAAAATGACAAGCCATCTATAGAAGATGACAGTCTAACTGCTGACTTTTCAACAGCAGCCATGGGAGCCAAAAGACATTGGATAAATAGTTTCAATGTGCTGAGAGAGGAAAAATAGAATTGAATACTCGGCAAAACTATCTTTGAAAAACATCTTGAAGACTGTGTTTCAAAATAGAAACATTTCAGTCAAATTTGAGTTTATCAACCACAGCCACTAAAAGGAAATTATGGAGAATTTATTTCAAGCAGAAGAAAAATAATCCTGGATGAAAGCTATGAGATGCAAGAAGAAATAATGAGCAAAGAAAATGGTAAATATGTACATAAATATAAAGAAATAATGGATTTATAAAACAATTTCTCACTTGTGGGATTAACAAAATAAGAGAGAGCAAATCCTGGATAACAACAGCACATAAATTGGGAGTGTACAATCAAAATCACATTGTAGGAGAAAGGCAACTTTAAATCGTGTCAACAATGCATTTTGAGGTTCTTCAAATTCAACCATAAGGAATAGAAATAGAATATGTCACTTCTGAATTGTATAGCTTGAAGTGATATAAAATTTCCATTGAGAGAAATCTATGACTATTGCCTAAAACCAAAACAAAAAAATCAATAAATAGCAACAGAAGCATGTTATTTACAGATCTGGATGTAATTACTAAGAGAATCAGTTAAAAGGGTTGAAAATGGTTGATTCTAGGAAGCAGAAAATGATGACAGTGGGAGTGGGCAGGGTTTCTATAACAGCTTCATAAATACATATTTGATTTTTATACTATGTATAAGTTGGATAAAAATAAAAGTAAAATTTTATAAAAGTTGAGTAACAAAACGGGGTAAATGTCTGCAGTATATGCTAAAAGTTTAGCATTCTTAATCCATGAAGAACTCTTTCACATCCCCAAGTGTACATCTCATAGACAAAGAACATGAATGCATGATTCACAAAAGAAAATAAGTGGAGAAGAAAAATATATGAAAATATTGTTGAAAAGAAATAAAATAATACAAACTAGAAAAGACATTTTTAAATGTTTATATATTTTCTTTTCCTGTCAAATTGGCAAAGGTTTTAAAAAATTATACCTTATGTCATTGCAGGTATAGAGAAATTGGACAAGTGGGTACTTGAAATATCGGGGGGACCACTTAGAAAGTATATGATTACCTAACCACTATGCTGTGCACCTGAAAACGGACACTTGTGTATGATGTTGGTAAGAATGTCATGTGAGCACATTCTTTCTCAGAAGAAATTTTGTAATCCATCGCAAAAGCTTTAAACATGGGCCTATATTTTGACCCAGGGATTCCGTTTCTGGAAATTAATTCCAACAAAATCATTAAAGAAGTACACAAAGTTTCAGGCATAAGAAAATTTATGACAGCATTGTTTACAAAAATGAAAATTGGAAATAACCTTCTATGTCTGCAATAGGGAGTTGGTTAACTTCATTAAGAGAAAATAAAATTTTAAAGAACGGACCAAAATATATTATTAATAGTTTTAATATGTATTATGCTCACCCTCTATTATTAAGTAAAAACGTAAATTACAAAATAGAATGAGCCATATGATCCCGTGTTGTTAAAAACAGATTGTTTAAAGCCTGGCAGGAGTGGCCCGGTGGTGTGGAGTGCCGTCCTGTGCACCTAAAGGTTGCCGGTTCTATTCTTGGTCAGGGGTGTGGGTTTGACCCTGGTAGGCAACCGATCACTGTTTCTCTCTTGCACTGATATTTTTCTCTCGCTTCCTCCATCCCTCCCTCTATTTAGGCATGTCCTTGGGTGAGGATTAAAAACAAACACCACATCTTTTTTAAAAAATGCATCTCCTAAGAAAAAGAACAAAAAAAGTTGGTATCTTGGTATCTCCAGCTCCAGAAGCCACCTTGTAATGAGCTTATCTTTGGTCCCCAGACCTGCCCCCTAAGGGAGGTGAAGCCTGTAGACTTAAATATAAAACTGGTTCATGCAACCTGCTAATTAATATGTGGGTTTGGGCTCCAGTGCCATTTCTAAACATAAGCATGTGCGTGGCCTGTGACTGTTCCCCTGAAGGAGGATGGTTTTACTGATGTCTGGATCAGTCAGCCTCTGGATGCTTAACTTCTCTCAGCACCAGCGGTGGCCTGAGCTGGAGGCCTGATCCAGGCGAGGCGCCAGGGACCACCTCCCCAGAGCACAGACAAGACGTCACCCTGGTGAGTGCTGCCCCTTCCAGGTCCTGCTGACCTCAGAGACCTGCTGGTTTGAGACGCCACCTCCACCCTCTTCCCCAGGTCATGGGGGCCACAGCTGCCTAAACTGGTGAGAAACGCTTACCTTTTTGTCCTTTATCTGGGGGACTTTCTCTTTCTTCCCCCAGGAACACAGGAGGCAGCGTGAAAAAGTCGCTTGCTTTACCCATACCTTGTGAATCTGTGTTCCCTATGCGAACGCCCTCTCATCTAGCAAGAAAAGAGCCTGCCTCCAGCTCCATGCCTGCATCTAGACCAGTAGTTCTCAACCTTGGCTGCATATTAGAATCACCTGGGAATCTTTTTAAAATCCTGATTTCTGGGCCTCATCCTCCAGAAATTATTTCTTTGTTACTAATGTTGTGGCCCCACCCCATAACAAAGAAACAGAATTTCCGGAGGATGAGGCCCAGAAATCAGGATTTTATTTTATTTTTTTAAATATATTTTATTGATTTTTTTTACAGAGAGAAATGGAGAAGGATAGAGAGTTAGAAACATCGATGAGAGAGAAACATCTATCAGCTGCCTCCTGCACACTTCCCACTGGGGATGTGCCCGCAGCCAAGGTACATGCCCTTGACCGGAATCGAACCTGGGACCCTTGAGTCCGAAGGCCGACGCTCTATCCACTGAGCCAAACCGGTTAGGGCTGGAAATCAGGATTTTAAAAAGATTCCCAGGTGATTCTAATGTGCAGCCAAGGTTGAGAACCACTGATCTAGACTTTCATTTCTTAGTAAGACAGGCAGTGGTAACACAGACTGTGGCAAAAGTCAGGTTATCTGGATGAGATTTCTGGCTCTACCTCTTACAGGCCCATGACCTTAGACAAGATACATGATTTCTCTGGGCCTTGGCTTCTTCATCTGTAAAATGGGGACAGTGAGAGTACTACCTCCCTGGGCTATAACAGTACACGAGAGAGCTCCGAACAGTATCCGGGACATAGTGAGTGCTACACACATCACAGCTGCTCAGTGGATTGAGGTCTATCAACTTTTAACAAACAGATGTGGGGACGGCTTTGGCAGGCACTGCTACCCAGTCATAGCTCAGTCTCACAATCCTTCTCCAGGCAGCAGATCAGAGCTGGTCCCAGAGGTGGAGGCCCACGCCCTCGTGAAAGTGAGGCATGCATTCTGATGAAAGGACGGAGGCTGGCTGAGCAGCTGCTGGGTGCTGCCTGGCTCCAGCTCTGCTCCATGGCACCCTCCTGGCAGGTGCAGGGAGACCTTAGGGCGCAGGGTGAGCGCCTCTGGCATGACTGGCCCCTGATGTCACTGGCCCGGAGTTCCAAAGAGCAGTATCCTGCTGCCCCACTGAACTCAGGATGTCCCTCCACCTCGTCGATCGCCCTTGAACTATGCCCCGGACAAGGGATTAACAAAGCAGCTGGGGCAGGCGGCACCCAGCCCACCCTCTGCCACTCAAGGTCTCGGTTGACTGTGAACATCCAAGTGCTTTACATCATTCCATGCTGTATGTCGGGGAGAACGGTGGGTCAGATGCTATATTTATTCAAGTCAAAGGACAGATCCTTTCAGAAGCCCTGAGTGGCTTAGGGCTAGTGTAGCTGAATCTGGTTTGTGGCTCCCTATTCAGCACAGGTCTGAACCCCGAGTGGGGGAGTAATTCAGAGAAAAGTGGACAGGACTGAACAGGGACCCTCACAGCAGGGAGAGGTCTCAGGGAGAAGAGCAATGCCCTGGAGAAGTGGGAAGGAGAAGGGATGCTCAGGCTGCAGAGCCTGGGCCAGACGGGGAGTGAAAAGAAGAGCTGTGCCCACCAGACACTGAGGGGAGATGCTGGGTGGAGGGCACCCCGAGGCTCCGCAGAAGCTGGCCTGGCACTCCTCATCGCTGACACCCCTCTATCCTGATGGTCAGAGACAACTGCTTAAATCCCCCCACATCCTGTGTTAACCGAACCACACCCACCAGCCTCATATTGGAGGTTAGATGTCCAATTTCCCAGGTAGCTTCTGAGCTGGAAATACCATCCTTTCCTCTCTACTCAGCCCCCTGGGTCAGGCGATCACTTTCCCTTGAACCATGATTGGAGATTAAGTTAACAAGGCAGTTTTATTGCTTGGC